GGCAAGGAGCCAGCAGAGGGGGGGCCAGTGGTGAAATCTGACGGGGGCACGGAATGGTGAGTTGGCAAGGGAAAGGGGTGGGGCAGGTGGAGAACACAGAGGGGTAGGGAGACCTGAACGGCCTGCGTGTTCTGGGTGGTGGGGGTAGATACTGCACCCTGAGGGGTCTGCGCTTACTTCCTGTATTGCCCCCATTTGGTCTCCGGGCAACGGGACATGGAAGCATGCCGCAGGCCTCCTCTTCTAGTGTTGCTCTCCCTGTGTCCATATCTTCCACATTACTTCCCCGTTGTCTGCAAGTTCACATCATGATGCTGCTTTCCACTGACCTACCCAGATGTCTTGGAAGCTGTCCCAAGCTTCCTGTTTACTCTGCGGATCCTTAAGGGGTTCCCGGTCTGTCCTGAGCTGTCTTTGCTCGCTATCTTCAACAGTCATCACCCTCCTTTGTCCTTCTTGAACTCTGATTGCTACTGTCTTCCTTCCCTACTTTGCTTCTTCTTGGCACTTGTGCACCCAGCTCTTGCCCGCGCACTTTCCTGCTTTTCCCCGACTCCCATGGCCAAAGTGATGCATCCCAGGACCGATGCGTGGAGTGTGGCCAAGTCCCCCACGTTGCGGTCCAAGTACGCTGCTCGTCGGCACTTCCTTCTCCGTCCTCTCTCTTAATCCCTCTAATTTTGTGCACGCGTTTCGCAGTTATAAATTCAGGAAGTACGACTTTATCTCTCTCTAATCTAAAGTAGGAGTTAGCCCGGTCAGGAAGGTCGGCTAGCTGAGCAGTGGAGTGTGAGGGAAAGGTGAAAAGAACCCTAAGAAAGGGAGTGAAATAGAAAACCTGAAACCCGATGCAAGCAATCAGTCGAAAGCTGAAAGATGCATCATCAATCAATGGATGATGGATCTGCAAAGACCTTTTGCATAATGGGTCAGCGAGCAAATTGATACAGCAAGCTTTAACCCCTACTAGGTGTAGGCGTAACGAAATTGTAGATAGTTGTATCAATTTGACCCGAAACCGGCAGTTGAGGTGAGTGATCAGAGTTGAGAAGGTCTGACAAGCTGGCAGCGATTGTGTGGCGTTGACGTGTCACTGCGACAGACTGCAGGGCATGAGCGAACCTGCCTTGCGTAATCGGGCTAAGCAGGGTGGCGACTCTGGGAACTGCTGGACGTAGGATGACGGATAAGGCCACAGTTCCAACAATGATACTGCTGAGATGATGTATCAAAGGGACGCTGGACCCGGTTTTCAGCAGGTGATGCTCCCAGCAATAGATGGAGCAGCCCGACTTGCAAAAGCCTCAATTCTGGTGTTTCTCTTACCACCACCGGGATAGAGGCCTTGCCCAACGGGGCTTTGTTTTTGTAAAAAAAAAAAAAAAAAAGGATGACGGACTGTGCACGAGGAGGTTGATCTGGTTCAGAGTGTTGCTATCTGTGTGTGTGAAGTTTCAAAAAGAGAGAGATTGGGTATCATTTCTGAAGCTGTGTTCTCAGTTTTGAGTAAAGTGTCCTTTCGTCACATCTGCCAAAATTGAACATCTCTTCTTTTCCTCCCTTCATTCTTCGTCTTCGACATTTTGGATGTTATACATGCAAGTGGTTATCTAGTGCCCCTTCACCCACTTGATATGATTGTGGAATGTCGATGGATTAAATAGGTTACTCTGTCAACTTCTTGTTGTAATTTCAAGTATGGATGACACATCTCTGAATTAATTAGTATCTCAAATTTCTCAATTACATTTTGGATTGCGTCAACTATGCGGGGCTCATATGTCTCTGGCTATTATGCACTTCAAATTCTACAGAATTCTGTGTGATTGATCCGCATGAATTGCGCCCTTCCCCGAACGACAGTCACTTGCCTCCCTTCCCCTCTACAGGGCCAGACAACGAGTGGGACATCCAAGAAACAATAACTCAAATAGGCCATCCTTATCAATTTCCGGATCAAACGGAGTGCTCGGCCTTTGTCAGATCAGGATTTTATTGATACGGATTTCCCCCCTTCCCCCTTCTTTTCCCCTATCATGGACTGACAGTTATCCTCTGGACCGTGGAACGTCATCGCCCCTCGTTCAAGTTGGCCCGCATTCTATGTTCTGAGAGTTCACAAAACACAAAAAGGAAAATTTCAAAAATGTCTTTACAGTTGAAACTTCAAACACCACTTCATTTCCATCGCTGCGATCGTAGTTTTTTGGGGTCTTGAATTTCATTTCCAAAACTTTTCTGAGTGTCTATTTTGCGGACCTTGTCAATGCTAGAGGGAATCACTTCTCCAAGAAAATTATTCCACGTCGTCAGACTGTGATTTATCACCCTTGATGCCTTTTTGCCATGTTTTTGGTTATTATACCGTCATGAATGAGCATATGAACCAAACTCTCCGGTACCACCTTCATTCACAGCAGTTTTCCAATCGGCTACAGACATGACCAAGTGCATCCTATTTGCGGAAGGACAAGATAAGTGTGGCATTCTGAGCCACACGGGCCCCAGTTAGGGCCCGGTTCCAGGTAGGCAGGGTAGGCCTAAGGGACGACGGTTCAGATGAGGCCCAGATGGGCCTGGACCATGGCGGTTCAGGCAGGCCAGGGGTAGAGGCCCAGGCCAACAGCCACAAGGCCGGTACCGGTCCAGCATAGAACCTACCGGCGGCGCTGCAGAGGCTGCCACATTTAGGCGCCAAGTCCAGTTTGAATCTGGACCGTCGATTGAGATCAACGGTCCAGACCGGTAGGTACCAGCAGGTAGGAGGCCGGCCCAGCACTACAAAAGGCTGGGTACCAGCCTCAGTGGAGAGGTTAGAAGTTAGTACGGTTGGGTTAGTCTTCAGGATTAGCGCAGCCTTGCCGCGTTAGAGAGATTAGCGCAGCCTTGCCGCGTTAGAGAGATTAGCGCAGCGCAGCAGCGTTAGCGTGAGCAGTGAGGCGACGACGAGCGCAGCGGCGAGAAGGAACAGCGCAGCGGCCCTGCCGCGCCATAGCTACCGGTTCAGGTACCAGGGAGGAAGGCTCGACCTTCGCTCCCTCTGTTCCTCCACCCCCCTGCTCTCTCTCTCTCTCTCTCTCTCTCTCTCTCTCTCTCTCTCTCTCTCTCTCTCTCTCTCTCTCTCTCTCTCTCTCTCTCTCTCTCTCTCTCTCTCTCTCTCTCTCCTCCTACCTTCTTAGTCTAAGCCTACTTCTGCGTTCTCCTACGGGACTACGATGAGTATGAAGGATGGTTACGAATTCTGATAACATTGGGAACAGCAACATTGGGACTACAGGTTGAGGACTACTTGGGGATCTGGTTTCATCTTCCTTCTGGAGATGTACTTGACATTATGAGATCGATATCTGAGACATTGTGAGACATGGTATTCGCGACATTTCGGATTTCCGTCACTTCTGACATTTCAAGATACTATCTTTGGAAACATTGAGTTGACGTCTTCCCTCTCCTCCTCCCTTCGTCTCTCTCCTCCCTCCATTCGTCCGTGGATGATATCGGACCCTGGCCTTCATCTATGTCTACAGCCAGGGCTTTCACACCCCCGATGTATGATTGAGACTGTTCGATTGCAGTCCGAGTCAGGTCAGAGCCAGTCTATGGGTATCAACTCTTCCTCTGTATTTGTATCAACTCTGTATTATCTGGTCGGTTCTGGGAATCTGCGCCATACTGGTGACTGTGTTTCACAAGTATGCAACATAAGACAGAGGCTTCCAACATAGTTCCCAGTTCCAAATTCCAATTACGTTGCAGAAATCGTTGGGGAACTTGCAGTCGGGGCTGTTGGAGGGGTATCCTCCAAGATTGGATGGTCTGGGTCCCATAAACTAGGTCCTGACTGTAGATAGGTACCTGTCGTGGGTCCAGAAACCGACCTCTACAACACCCTGGACTTTTCTCATGTTAAAAACAAAAACAAAAAAAAAACACGTTCCAGAGATCCTAAGCACAGCAATAGGGTTCGAAATTGCGAGTTCCTTGCTCCAACTATGTGGGTAGAGCTTCCAAGATCAAACCATGTGAGAAATATAGTTAAACCACCACAGTGACTACTTCCTAAAGTCGCGGCGTGCCCCTCAACAAGCTGCGACTTTAGGAAACGTACAGGCGTCTACAGAAGCGCCCACCATTCACCCGACTAGAAACGTTACTACTCTATTTCTTTCCACAGCTGATAGCTGGGCCGAGTACTGCAGCTGGTTTAATACAGTTTCTTTGTGGACAGTAGTGGAAACCAAACTTCACAGGACCGCTGAGCCAAATGTTGTTTGGCAACCTGCCATGTGGCTTAGTGGCACACAATAACTGCTGATCCGCAGGACTTCGTCAAGGCTCAAGAGTTCAAAGTTCAAAGTTCAAAGTTCAAACCCTATAACATTGTGTTTTTTTTTGTTTTTTTTTTTCTGTGTGTACAGAGTTGTTTAATGTTAGGAGATGCCCCTAATGTTAGGAGATTCCCCTTGGGGAGAAAGAAGAGGAAGACGTAAGGAGAAAGTAGTTAGGGGTCAGGACTCAGAAGTCATAACATTCACCTAAATAAGTTCATTCTCAGCCCCCACTGATCACCTGGCCCAGGCAACACTGGTTACGAAGCCCTTTGTGGATGACCAGCCTGACCTGTCCTGGTTTGGGAAGACCCTTCTGAGAGGCTCTGACTTAGCTCGACAATGGTGTACGCAATGCTGGCTCTAAGTTAGTGGAAAGTTGTGGACACCATGCCATTTCAGGCTATTAACCGCGACGGCCAGCTCGGATCATCTGTGGCCATCCTCCTCAGCACATAGATGTGTTCCATGTTTCCCCTTACAACACGTAACTCCTCATCATGGAAGAGTACCTCATATGAGACTGATTGCCTCTGTGGCCCTGCCAGTTGGCGCACTACTGCCCCTTCGTTATCCATATCAGGGCAGTAAGGTGCAAGAAGACTCTTCCAGATATGCAACTCCTCTTTAGTTGCTGAATTCCCTGGCTCCACTGAAATGGTGGTAAATTGCATAGCATGCGAACATTGGTCAATCAACTCAATTGATCCAGATACAATACTCACACCAGAGACCGCTGGTTGGGCATCATCGTTCCCCGCTGAAATCAGTAATCTTGTCAGCACGGCGTACTTGGAATTTTCGAAGTCCACCAAATTAAAACAACCTGTAATCTGGACGGGTAGTTCGGAAATTGGGTACACATTAAAGGTCAGTTGCGAGAGAGAGAGTGGACCACCACCACCGAACGCTATATTGCAACCCAGTAACTGGAACCTCCCATTGAATATCTCACTCGAAGCAAACGGTGCCAGGGACAGAGGCTCCAGATCGGAGATCAACGCCAGCGCCTCCTCACTCAACGGCCTCAACGCCTTTGCTTCATCGTCACCAACAAGAGATTTCAATTTCAACTTCAACTTCTCTCTTTCAATCTTTACTGCAGCGGTCTCCTCGGGACCGATCGACGTGGTGGCAACGTTGCCTGCTCGAACCAAAGACACCCCTGATGCAGAGTACAGGTGGTTCGAGCTAGCTTGCGAAAACCAGCAGCCATTGTCATCAACAAGGTGGCAGATACACGATGAGCACAACTTGACGTGCCCTCGTCGTCGTCGGCCAAGTAACTGGGGGTTCCTCGGGGAAGGGACACTTTCAAGGTCGTCATGTCTGCCGAAAAGAAGGTTCCCAAGACTGGAAGCACGGTATCCCGTGTCCGCAGCATATACCTTCGACAACTGCCTTGCGGTCGAGGATGAACTTGCAGGGGTTATCTCACAGTGGACAGCATGGCCGTCTGCGCATGGAAGACGAAAGGGAATGCCGCCATGGATTGAAGACGCGGGAGCAGCAGCGTAATTTGCACTGCGGTCCTCTCGCTTCTTGCATCTCAGATGCACTGACGAGATATCAGGTGTGCTTCCGACCCTTGATGTAATGATCGTGACGCCAACCATGACGATCTGTTCTGGTTCGAAGTACCTTAAACTACCAGTACCGCCGGGTGTGTTTTGACTCTTGAGGCACGTATACGGCCACGAGCTTCAGAGGATGTGGGCTGCTACTGGTCATTTAAGGCCCCTCTTTACTATCAAGACAAACACGGTAGCATTCCTCAGCATTTGCTGATCACTCGAAATCTGCAATTGTCTGACGAGCTCCGTGAACAATCTTGTCGTGTGTGTACTGAATCAGGAAAGTATGGCCTCCTCCGTGCTGCAATCCACACATTTGCTCCACAGAATCTCAGTTCAAAACTTCCAAATGCAGGCTCATGGGCCTTTTGCCAACCCGGTAGAAGCAACACTGCTGCTGAAGCTACTTAAACCAACCTTTTGTTTTTCCCAACCCTTGAGGAACTACCCTGGGTAATGATTTCAAGGGCAATCTGCCAGTTTGCTTTCTTCCAGCCCAGTCAAAATCCTCTCTACCCCTCTGTGCGGATCTCCAATCACTGCACCGCATCATTCAGAACCTCCGCCGAAGGATTGTGCTATTATATCATATACAGAGAAGATTAGGTCGGTGCCTGCAAAAAAAGAATGATACATACAAATATATGATAACCACATAGTAACCCGAGCAATTATGATTATGCTTTAGCAGAGTTGCTCCAGTCAATGTAACGTGTCCACTTCTATCTCCTCTCAAGGTCATACATGAAATCCATTGTTTTCTTTCTTTGGCATCAAAATTGTGCCTCTCCAGTTCTGTTAGCGTCCACTTTAATGAAGTGCACTAACTCCTAAATAGAAATAAAACATTTTCAAAAGGAATCTGCTTGTAAATACCGATAAGAAAAAGTCTTAAATTTTCAAGAACTCCAACAAGAAGCTGCACCTGTACCCACAAAAGCAAAAAGTAGGGACAACGCAGTCAGATAGCATAAGGAGTCCGAGAGCTCCATCCCCCCCTCCTCTCTCTCTCTCTCTCTCTCTCTCTCTCTCTCTCTCTCTCTCTCTCTCTCTCTCTCTCTCTCTCTGTGTGTGTGTGTGTGTGTGTGTGTGTGTGTGTGTGTGTGTGTGTGTGTGTGTGTCTGTGCGTGGTTGAATTCTAGTCAGAAACCGTCAATCTGACAATCATGGCTCTATTACAATGCCTAATCAGGGTTGAGACCCCGAATCTACTCAGGAATCAAAATTATTCCAAGAAAATCATAACAAAAACCTTGAGCTGGATGAAGAATTTGGTACTCACTAACGCGTGAATTCTAAACACTGGGTAAACTGTGAGGACCCCGGCCTCAGGTACCAAATTATAAATCTTAAGCCTTGGCCACTGCACCCCATTTTTCAAAAAAAAAAAAAAAAAAAAAAAAAATGAACGCCTGTGTTAAATCAATAACCAAAAGTTCAACAAATAATCATGACAAATAATTCTCTGGATAATTTGGACAAACGCAATCATGGTAACCACCAACCCAGACACTCGACACAACTGGACAAAAAAACGGACTTGTGCGGACATCCGGCTTTCCGGACAAGCCCCGGACATCCAAACATAACTGGACCTGGAATGGCCGGAATTCAATGGGGGACCAGGCCACCAATTATGCATGGAAAAAAGAAAAGAAGGCGAGCGCAAATTGTGTAACCTTGTGCCTACACAATTTACATAACACCCTATTGAGGAGATACATAGCCTGCCAGGAGCTAATTGCCCTAGTCAGGTTTGCCAATCAAGGACACCAGACATATCAAGATCTGAATGGTCAGCAGAGTCGCCTTTTCATCCCCTATCCTACCGTACCCTACCCTACCATATCGGTCAGCCCGATTGACAAGAGACATCCCCTGTCTAAAGCTATCCGTCGTGAGAGTGGAGACATGCTCTACCAGGCTCTCTCCTTAAATAGCTTTTGAATCAAAGATATACAAGATACCGCTTGAAATTGCTTTCTGATTAAGATCGTACATTATTAGACAAATTTTATATGTCATCTTCTCCATTTCACTTTCCCCACTGATGCACACAGCACTTAAGCATGGACATTTGTTCAGTCATATGAACATCGGACCGCAACTTTCCATTTCATTTAATGTCCAAGAAATGTTCTACCTGTTCACCTTGTCTTCGAGTATCTTCGCAGCGTATCAGGTCAATGCTGGATGTAGTCGACAATCCTCAGCAACTTCACGCCTCAGTTTGACATGGACTCGAACAGCTCTGAAAACCTGAATACTCAGCCCTCTTGTTTTACCACATCACTACTGCATGCCACATTCGACCCTATGACCTTCGTGCAACGCAATGGTAGCACGCACTAGTGACTTTCGGCCGCTGTTATGAAATGTGAGGGAGACTAACCGCCATGTTGGAATCATGTTGGTGAAAGCTTGTTGCAATACTAATGACCAATGTTGGCAAACAGTTGAACACACGCAAAGACCTCAGACAAACAGTATAGCGCACCCCTTCCCCTATATGAATGTTGCTTCCAGCTTGACAACAACTCGGAATTTTCGCACATTTTTTTCTGTTGGAAGAGTGAATAGGGTCGCCGTTTTTTATCTCCTACCACCTCATGCAGCCCAATTGATAAGAGACGCCCCATTTCTGAAGCTACCATGTTCCCGAGAACATAATGCACCCTGATAATGAATGTATACAAGCTATCTTCCCGGTTCAGTGCAGTCATAAAGGGCGTGCGTTTCTGGAGCTACCATCTTCCCCAGAACATCGGTGCGGCCATAAAGGGCATGCCTTATGTTCGGGGGAAGACGGTAGTCTGCATGATTAGTTTGCTGATGAGGGATGTGCAAGGAACATGAATGTGGACGAAGCACAGAAATCCAAACTGCAAGATCACACTGAAGTCCAAGTAGTCAAAGCAAGAGCAGATAGCACAATGGATCCGAGTAACCATCCATTTGAGAACGATACAGAAGAATCGTGAGTCAATGTCCAAGCCCAATCGGGCAACACCAACAGCATAACCCAATGTAGCTCTCTCTCTTGAATGGCGCCAGGCGCCCTATCTACTCTACAGCCTAACACTACGACTACAGCATGGAAGCAACCAGACAACTTGACGACCAGCGAGTGATGACGTCAACACCGATGCCGACCTCCTCTCCACCAGGTACGTCTCTCTCTTCTCCCTCACTCTCCCTTGTTATCCCACACAGCGCCCTTCACCTCCGAAGAACCACCTTCGCCCTTCACCTCCTCTGCGCCCACAGGCAGCCCGGCTATGGCCGCCAGCGCCCTGCGCCCAGGCTGCGCTTAGCGCCAGCCTGCCCTCACTCAGCCTAGCGCAGCGCAGGCACACTCGCAATGCAGCAACGTGCCTGCCTTGATCGCAATGGCCAAGATTCCCTGCCCACTCGCCCTCCCTGCCTATATGCCAGTGTTGCGTGTGGGCGGCCTCCCTTGAGCCTGCGCCTGGGCCCCAGTACCTATACCCGGGCCCAATGCGGTTGGGGCCCAGGAGATGCAGTTGCGCCTCTTTCATCAAGGCCTGCGACCAGATTCAGATAGTGGACCGGTTTCCCATTGGCATTTTCGGCCTCTATATCCAGCATGCATTGTCGGCCTCACGTTTATGTGCCCAGGGCCTAACCAATTCTGGGGCCCTGGGATTTCTGCATTTGCAGAGCTCTGATACTCGTGCACTCCAACCAACTGGCGAGCGGCAACTGTATGGACCCCACTTCGTGAAATGTTTGAACAGAGGGGCTCTTGTTGATTTGCAGGCCCGCCTTCACTTAGGGCACGAGGGTTTGATGGGGCCTTAGCCCAGAACATGTACATCATGGCAAGGCCCCTATTTGAGGGCTCAATCCTCACAGATGTCTGAGAAATGGCTCAGGAGTACTACTTGCTTTGAAAGGGTCACATTCAGAGGGGCCAATAGCGGCCCCCTGATTTCCCAAAAATCACTCTGGTACTTTTGGGTGGGCGCCGGGGACCCAAAACACTATCCCATGCACCCACTTTTTTTTTTAATGACGGGTACTTGAAGGCTTCCTTTTGCCGAAGCAGATTTCCCCCAGCACGCCCAAAACACGAACCTGCTGAAGCACTTCTTGGGCTGCTGCAGCCAGCCATTTTGCTCCAGTAGGCCGAACCCCCAAAGGCCAGGTGCATGGAAAGCCACATCGGAAAAGAATGGCTGGGAAAAGTGATGGTGGTTTAAACCAACAGTTCACCCTAGCCCTAAATATAACTAGGCTATCACTTGGGATATCAACTCACCTATCAACTAGGACATCAACTCACCTATCAACTAGGACAYCAACTWAYCTATCAACTAGGCTCCGGAAGTCSCTGAGCACCCTCAGGAAGACCTGTAGTAGCATGTTCATACCTAACTCCGGAAGCCTAGGTTGTTGTAGAGGTGGGATACTAGACAGGGGTTAGGGCTCTGCCTTTTCTGCAGAGGGGTTCCTTTTTTTCGTCCTTACGCCATGTTCATACCTATCAACTAGGCCTAGGGTCGGTTCCTTTTTTTTCTTCTTATTTTATAAGAACAAGTGGACCTGCCGCAGACCTACAATGACAGAAACATTTTGTGAAACACCCCAGCCATCAGTTGGACCCAATCTTTGCAATGTACCCCTACCGGACACTACCTCCTTCTCCCCCTCCCGCACGACCTCCTGCAACCTCTCGTCCCCATCGTGCGACCTGCTCCTGCCCCTCCCACGACTTCCTCCTCCCACTTGCACGATACTCTCCTTCCCCTCCTCCCACCTCCTCCCCCTTGTGCCACCGCCTCCTCCCTCTGGTGCGACCTCCTCCACGACGTGCTCTTCCCTCAAGAACATAGGAAGATACACGGCGACGGACAGATATATTGAAAAGAAAGATACATTGAAAAGAAATCCCGGTGTGCGTATGGACTACCGAGCTGTCAGATGCAAATGTTGGCCCCCGAGCGGCATCCATAGAATGAGCAAAATGGGAATGAATCTGTGGCTAGAACATGGAAATATACACTGCCACATTTTGGGTCTTTGGCAGTGTATATTTCCATGCTGTGGCAGTGGATAAACCCCGCCACTGGTCTCACGCTACTTCCATCCGTACGATGAGCAAAAGCAAATGAATTGTTGGCCGGTGCGTTGCTCATCCTATCGATGGAAAACTCTCTCTCTCTCTCTCTCTCTCTCTCTCTCTCTCTCTCTCTCTCTCTCTCTCTCTCTCTCTCTC